CCCCAAAACCCCAAAACCCCAAAACCCCAAAACCCCAAAACCCCAAAACCCCATAAAAACTAAAAAATATTGAATACTGAAATGGAAGCCAGACGTAAAAATAGAGTATTTGAAGATGATCCAGAGGGATCAGCTAGTGATGAAGATGTTATGCCAAAGAAAAAGAGTCTAGCAACTGGGTTACTTGATAAACTCAATTTTGATAACATCCCAGATGACATTCCCTTAGGATTCCAGCCAATTGGAATGCCAGCAAATCCTTTTGCTGATAAGATTAATGGGGATGACAGTAATAGTGACACAGAGGCCCAAAATATCAAAATTTCAGACTATAATGATATTTTCAAGCAAGTTGAGAAGGATTTGGGAGTGAAATATTCAGGTAATGGCAGTTCAGAGGAAATTACTAATTCTAGCCAAACAAGGGAGAAAATTTCATTCCCTTTAGTCCCAGGCCAAGCAGTTGCTACCTTAGAAGAACTTGTTGTAGATCTAGAAAAGGCAAGGTCTTCTAAGAATCATAAACTTATTGTTTCTCTTTGATCTACTTGTTCAAAGAAAGTCACGGATCCGGGAGAAAAAGTGAGATATCTGTCTGAGAAGTTCAGGTCTCTTGAAGCTCTAGATCTTCCCAAGCTTTGTGAAGAGACTGCTAATGAGATTCTCAAATATGAGCCTCAAAATGTGCAGTTCAAGTTTTACCAAACCAAGCTTCTTATCAAGAACAGCAAGAATATTTGGGATAGTCAGATAGAGTACTTAAGAGCACGATGCCTAATTGAGAAAGAGTTAGCTCGTTATCCAGAAGACTACGATTTAAACAAATTCCTTGGAGAGCTAGAACAAATTTACTACTCTCTCAAGATCAAGATTGAGCAGAAGAAAGTCTCCTCCAAGAGCTACATGCAGATAGGAGGTAGTAACATAAACTGTACAGTTGGAATTGGAACTGATGAAAGTACCAAAGAGAAGTATATTACTCTAGATGAGTTATACTCAAAGAAGATTTCTTCCATTGCTACAGGGGACTTCCACACCCTGATCATCTGTGAAAATCTTGGAGAGAAAGATGGGAATGACAAAATTAACACTAATGTAGGGGATACTGATATCATAGCCTTTGGTCTGAACCAACATGGGCAAGTCAACTCAGTGCCGTCTGAGGAATCTGTAAAAACTCCTAAGATTGTACCATTCTTTATAGGAAAGAAGCCACAACTTGTCTCTGCTTGCAGATCAAGATCAGTAGCTCTTGTAGACAATGGGAAGGTATATGAGTGGGGCTTCTTAGGATCCGAGAAGAAACAGTTCAATATCCTTTATGATTTTTACTCAGAAGACTCTATCCTTGACTCTGAAGATGAAATCATTGACATCAAATGAGGCCTTGAGTACACTCTGTTCCTTTCTAAAGAAGGAAAAGTCTATATCATCGGCACAATTAGCCAAATGGGAGAGTTCGTCTTTGAAAGTGGAGAGCTCATTAGTCTTAATGAGGAGTTTTGCAAATCTGGAATTCTGGATTACGCTCCTTCCTTTGCGAAAGACTTCATTAAATCTCAAATGAAAGAGAGAGGAGAGGAAGAAGAAAATAAACAAATCCTTATCAGGAAAATGGATGCTGGATATTCACACTGTATGTTTCTTGATTCTCAAGGAATTGTCTATGTCTTTGGAGCAGGTCATTTCGGACAGCTTGGTCTTGGATTTGACGATATTAAAGCGAAGAGACCTGCAATTTTGGAAGAGCTAAATGACGGGCTTGATAAAATTGTCAATATTTCTTGTGGTGCAAATTGTTGAGTAGCATACACTGAATTAGGATTACTATATAGCTGGGGAATGCTTAATGATGGAGATCCAGACACGATTAATTATTTTCCTACCATCCTCGGAGTACCTGAAAATACAACATTGTCACACATAAATGCTCAATCTCGAGAAATTATGGCTTGTGATGTGCATGGAGATCTTTACCATTGAGATTTAGAGTTCAGAAGAAGATTAGAAAATGTTGATAAGGACAAATTTCTTGACAAAAATAACAGGGATTTCTTCATCAGGAAGGTATTCTGTGGAAGAAGTATGAGGATTCTCCTAGACTCACTTCTCAGTCCTGAAAAATCCATTGTCTGACAAAAAGTTGAGACAATGGAGACACTTATCGAAAATGAAATTATAATAGAACTTTCTGACATCTTAAGCGAACCATTTTCCATTTCTTCGGAACAAAAGTTTGAAATTTTTAGCAAAATCAGAATTTTATTTACCCAGTCAAAGAGTTTTAATCTCTCAAACTTTAAGATTTCTGAATATAATCCTGAGAAAAAAGAGGAACCAAAGAAGCCAAAATTTAAAAGAAAGATACCAAGAGAGGATGACGAAGAGGAAGAAAAGATTATCACCACTAAAGCTGCTAAAACAACGACTAATTTCAATACGAAGAAAAAGAAGCCAGTTGGTGGGACTAAGGCTAAGAAGCCTAAGGCTCCTGTAAAGCCAGGCAAGCCAAAGACCTCTAAAGTTGCTAAAAGACCTGAGACTACAAAGGCCAGGGAGAAGCCTAAGGTTCAAAAAGATGATACAGTTGAAGAGGAGAAACTTGAAGATCCTATTGATGTTAAAGAAGAACTCCTGTTTCTTCAAGGTTCAGTGAATATAGTCAAATTCAAGACTTATTATGAAATCGATAATGAATTCCCGAGTAAAATCTCGCTAAAAATCCTGCCTCAGAATGGTGATGAGTACGAGAATGTGTACTGAAGAATCTTCGTGGACTCAATTGAGGTTAAAAAATCAAATTTCCAGTTGCAAATAGTCAAGTCCCAGCTGCATCTAGATTTAGAAGCAGAGAACGAAAGACTCCGAGAACGTGAGCTTAAAATCCAAGAACAAAGAAGACTCGGTATTATTCATATTTAACCTCTAGACAAACTGAAAGAACTCGAAGAAAAGGAGAGGAAAAGGAAGGAAAAGGAGGAAGAAAGACTCAGACAACAAAAACTCAAAGAAGAAGCAGCAAAAAGACGGAAGGAAGAAACTATGAAGAGAGCCCAAGAGGCTCTTATTAAGGCCAAGGAAGCCAGAGAGAAAGAACTCCAACTGAAGGAAGAGGAGAGAAAGATGAGGAAAGAAATGAGAACAGGCGGTGGGTTTAATATGGCTTTACATAGAGCAAAACTTGAAGAAGCCAAAAAGGAAGAACCTTAATCTACCAATATATTCTCACAAATTTGGGGTTTTGGGGTTTTGGGGTTTTGGGG